CTTGCTTTTTCGTTGCATCACTTAGCAACCACCCGGCCCATCCAAGCACGCCCCCACGCACCCACGCACCCACGCACGCACGCACGCACACACGCACACACGCACACACGCACACACGCACACACGCACACACGCACTCATGCATCTGCATGTCTCTCTCTCTCTCTCTCCCTCTTGTACGCATGGTTCAAGTCTGTGCGGAGCCTTCATGCGCCTCGTCTAAAACCTCCAGGAAGATGTTGGGAGCTGGCATTTCGTCGATGGTGGCACTCCTGGTGCTTCGACCTGGACTTCGAGGGTTTAGGGTTCAAGGAAAAGGGGTTTGTACGGTCAGGCACTTGGGGGTCTGGGGTTTAAGTCGTAACCGTGAGAGTGGCGGAAGTGGAGGAACCGTCGGAAGGATTGTTCGGTGGCATCCAGCAGATCGGCAGAACACCCAAGTATCTGGAAGGACTTTGCGTGCGGTGTGGGCGAATGTAGGAGGAAATGTCTGGCACCCGCCCCAGTAAAAAGGGACCTCCAGGAGGAAGAGTGCGAAACCAGGAGGATCAGGATGTGAACACTTGTTTACTCCTCTAATCATCAGGCTGTAAACGCTTGTCCACTCGTCTGCTCCTTCAAATCCAAAACCTCGAATATTCCATTCCTATGCCAAAACCCCTACACCCCAAACCCTCAACCCTACCCTCAACCGACGAAGCACCAACAACCTCGCATGGCATGTCCGAGAGTGAGCAAAACCCTAATATAGGTGCCTAAATAATTACCAATACTATTGTTAGGGCTCCTTATTATAATTATAGTATAATATACACCGAAACTCCATTCTAGTTATTAAGGCCCCTATATTAACCGCTACATCTCAAACACCGAAGGCCTAAAACCCTTGCCCCCCTAGAGTTGGCTTAAGAAAGGGAGCCTGGGGTCAGGGTTTCGGGTTCAGGATTGAGGGGTTGAGGGTTTTAGGGGTTTAGGGCTTAGGGTTTGGGGTTCAGGGTTTAGGGTTTCGGGGTTTAGGGGTTTCGAGTTGTGGCCTGGATGCAAAAGGGGTTTAGAGTTTAAGTTGCTTCGTCAGCTTGCTTGCAGTGTACCCTGCGATACAGCCGCTGCTGCGTAAGAGTTCAAGTTTAGGGCTTTGGGCTTAGTGCATTGCAGTCCGCTGCTCACCGGAAAGGTTTAGGGGATTGTTTTTTGGTGGGATTCTGGTTTAGATTAGGGTCTCGCGATTTGGAGGTCGCTGTCTGGCTAGACTGTATCGCTACGTCCCCAAACGCTAACACCCGACAATCGAACCCCAAACAATAAAGCCCCCCGTTCCTAAAGACCCAGCCCCGAAGCCCCAAATCTTGAATGAAAAACCCTACTTGGAGGCCCAGGGGACTTAGTAAGTAGGTT